TTCGAGTTTTCCTTCTCTGACAGTTTTCTGCCTTACGCAGATTCCAGCTTTCTTAGGTTTTACTGTATCTCAAAAGAGATTGATTTAAAGCACCCTACACAAATCCTGCCTTATTAGTATAACAAAGAAAACCCATTCCTGAATAGGATTATAAACACAGGTACAAGGGTTAGGATTTACAACACATATTTTTGGGGGCACAATTCAATCTGAGGCTCAAACTCATAAAGACCAGGGGCATGATACTCAACCCCAACCGGATGATGTGAGTTAAAACCCTGGGTGGCGCCAGCAGTTTGCACTCGACTACTAATCGAAAGGTTGCCAGTTTAAACTCACCCAGTGGTGCTGCAGAAGAAAGACCTGGAGATCTGCTTCCGTAAAGATTACAGCCAATAAAACCCTATGGAACACAGTTCTACTCTGGCATACATGGCATTGCCATGAGTTGGAATTGTCTCAATGGTAACGGTTTTTATTTATTTATTTTTGGTTTGGTTTGTAGTACATCTTAATCTGGATCAAACTGAAAAGGAAACACCTCAGTTTGTGACAATATAAAAAGTTAATATGAGATGGAGAGGTAAGAGGGATAGACAGTGAAACAACAAGGTAAATATATTACACAATGGAGCAATCAATTAAATATTTGGAATCAGTGGTCTCTGAATGGTGTGAGTAAAATTCCCCCTGCCTGGTGGCCTTGGGGAGCCCTGGTGGCACAGTGATTAAGAGCTCTGCTGCTAATCAAAAGGTCAGTGGTTCAAATCCACCAGCCACTCCTTGGAAACCCTATGGGGCAGTTCTACCCTGTCCTATAGGGTTGCTATGCATCAGAATTGACTCGATGGCAACAGGTTAGGTTTTTTTTGTTTTTGGTGTCCTTGGACCCTTGTGGGTGTGGGACCAGGTGTCCTTATTTTACCAGGCCTGCTGAGGTACGTGAGCCCCAGACCCATTGTTTCATTTTGTGTCGGATAACAGCCATTTGTGTCCATCTGTTTCCATTGAATAGAAACAATCAAGGAGTAGACTGTATCAGAGGACCTTTGCATAATCATGCCAGGCAAACTCGGGGTAGTTTCAGTTTTTTGGGTTATAAGAATGCTTCCCTCACCTGTGGACACTTAGTTACTGAGACAGCACTGTGTTCTAAGGGCTGGGATAGTCCATTCCCACAGGAAAACTTGTAAGAGTTACAAGCAGAGGGAATAAAAGCCTAAGATTGTTCTTCAGTTTTTGTCTCACTGTGTCCTCAGAATTTTTACACTCTTGTTACTTTCTAATATTTCTGTTATAGACTAGATGAAGCCCATTTCTTAATGCCCCAAATAAGCAAGGAAAAATTGTTATTGGGTGTCCTCCCTGCCAATCAGCTCAGGCTTAAAAGAGAAAACTGGTTCAGGAGAGAGCATGATGAGGTCTTATTCATGAAGCTTCACTTGATGAGCCTCTCTTTTCAGTCACTGCTTGGACACGTGACTCAGCTCAATGAAAGAGACCTCACCTGCCAAGAGCCAAGAAATGAGTGTGGATAAAATCACGAGAAAAAACAGAGAGATGGTTGAAAACCCTTCTGATGTTGTTTGCCTCTTATAGTTCTGAATGTTTCACTCACCATCTTATAAAAATAACCTCTTTATTATATGGGGGCCTGGCAAGGAGAAGGTATTCTCTCCAAATCTTTGGCAAGGAATTCCCCTAAAACAGGAAGTGAACACTGGAAGAACTAAATCCAGCAACAGTGAAATGTTTGCCTCTGAGGAGTGAGGCAGGAATCAGGGAGGTGGAGCAGCCTCTTCTTTATAAACCCTTCCAAGTGCTGTTTTGTCTTGATGGAAAGAAAAATTATGTATACATTTTTAAACGGTTTTCCCCTCACTCTGCCCTGGAGCCACCAGCCTGGCCCTGGCTGAGTCCTGGTCCTCAGCCAGTCCCCAGTGGGTGGGATGGGCCTCAGAGTTTGTCTCCTCAGGACATCAGGCTGCAGAGAGGTCAAGTAACATGCGGAGGTCACACAGCTGATGGAGCAGAACCAGGACACCCCGGGGTCCTCCATCTCTTGGTCTTTTCACAGAGGCTCCATCTCAATCTATTCAGTTCCAGCTACCCAGCCTGTGGCTTTCAGCCAAATTCCACCTGAAAAGAGAGCTTGGCTTCTGGCGGCCGGAATCACTGTTGGCCCCACCTCCTTGAGGGGAGGAGCAGGGGAGAAACACAGGGTCTCCTGGCCTGGAGAAGGAGAACAGTGTGTCCAGACAGCCCCAAGTTGGGCCCTGTGACAGTGGTGACATTCGCCAGCATGACTGTGCCAGGCTCTGTGCCAAGCACTTCATGTGCGTTAGCTCACTGACTCCTCATAACAGCCTGTGGAGCAGTTATTATCGTCCCTCTGCTCCTCCAGCCCCTGTTTTACAGATGAGAAAGCATACCTTTGGGCTCCAAGCTCAGTGTTCACCCCATGACACACAGCCGATTAAATTTTTTAAGATTTCATTTTAGAGACCAGGGCCCGCAAAGATGTAAAGGATATAGGCTGTAGATGTAGGGAAGTTTTGAAACAAGCTCGGCTACTCCTGGATGTGTTGTGCCTGCTGGCTTCCCTCTGGGCACTGAGAGAAACTCCAGAGGGAGCTTAGGGAGAAGAGGAAAGAGGAGGAGAGGAGGGGAGGGAAGGAAGCAGAGGGGAAGGGAGAAGTGAAGGTTAGAATGAGATAGAGGTGGGAGAAGCAGGTGGGTCCTACCTTCAGGACAAAGTCTAGACAAAGTCTGTTCACCCTTCATTGGGGTTTGATAAGGCCCCCGGTAAGGGTAGCTCCGAGCCCGCCCCTCCTCCCCAAGCCTGCCCATAGAGACAAGTGTCCTGCTGAGGATAAACAGGATGGTGACACCATTAGTTGACAGTCCTGGTGGCACACCGGTCGCCAGCAGGAGTGGTGCAGGCTGTGGAGCTGTGCCCAAGAAAGCCAATTGCTAAACCACCGATATCGTATGATTTCCTGCTGTGAAATAAATAACATAAAATAGCATACACTTAGGAGAAAAGTCTGAGAAAAATGCCACAGAGTCAACAGGGGTCATCTCCGGAGGGCTCAGGTTGGGGGGGGTTTGACTTCCTGGGTTCTGTACATTTCTACAACATCAAAATTTTTAATGCTGTGCATGCAATGCTTTGGTAACCAGAATGACAAATGAAATATGTTTTTAACAAGAGAGGATACCCTGCCTTCTGTCCATAGTCTTTTTCAAACTTCTAAAACAACCAGAGTACGCAGGTAATTCTGCACCCTGGATTACCAGGAAGTCCTTACACTTTGTAAAGGATTTTTGTCCTGAGAGTGTACAATTAATTATTAAAGAGATAATATCAACCCTTTCAGATAAGTTTAACATTTAACTTGAGGCTTGAAAAATTAAAGGGTTTTTCTCTTGACTTTGTACACTGTCGCTAGGGTGTTAGTTCAAAAACATAAAAAAATGAAACCAAGGGGGAAATTGTGTGATTTTTGTTTTGTTTTTTTGTGACTGTATTGGTGCTTAGATCAGAAACACAATTTTTGACGACTACTCTGCCTTCCTTGTCTTCAAGCTCAGAAAAATAGGTTGCTGTTATAATTCTGATACAGTGAGAAAGGGAGCCTGGGTAAGATGCAAAATGACAGAGAGAATGCATCGTCCAAAAAACCAAGGGGAGGAGGGGAAGAGTGAGAATAACGCCGGTGGGCTTCCTGGAAGAGGTGGGCCTGGAGCAAGGCCTGGAAGTGGTCAGTTTGGAAGCAGGTTCAGCTAGAGGATAGATTCAGGCCTGTAGTGGGGGCCTACCTTCCCTTCCCCCTTTCCGTGAGAGAGAGCCGGCATCTCTGCCAACAACCATAGCCCCAGCTCTGAGGAGGGTGCTGCGTAGAGCTGGGTGGGAGGCACAGCCTACTCGAACTCTGGACTCTGCCCAGGAATTTCCTGCTGAGATGAGAAGACAGGCCAACGCACAGCAGGTCAGACCCAGCCTGTCCCACAGAAACAGGCTCCTCCATCTCTCCTGAGAGTGACTTGTTCCCCACAGTATGTGAGTAGGAATATGACCCTGTCTCTCTCCTTGCAGCTGGGTGTGTGTGAGTGTGCTGCTGCGTGTCTGTGCTTTTTTGACTGTGTGTACATAGGTAGCTGGGCTTTCCTGGGCTCTGTGTGTGTGTGTGTGTGTGTGTGTGTGTGTGTGTGTGTGTGTGTGTGTGTGTGTGTGTGTGTGTGTGTGTATGCGCATGCGCACCTCTGGGTATGTCAGCTCAACTAGGCTGTAGTTTGAATAGAGTAGGTTGCTCCCCGAGGACAAAAAGGGGAGAGAGCAGGAGGTGGGAGAGATGGAATCTTAGGACTGTTATTTACAAATGAGTTTAAGCTTATGAAACAAGCTTCAACATAAAAGGGAATATATTGGCTTTTGTAATTGAAAAATCCAGGAGTAGGACTGGTTTTCAATATAACTGGATCCAGGGACTTGAATGTTGTCTTCAGGATATTGTCTCTTCATCCTTCAGTGGTGGAAGAGTATAACACAGTGATGATATCACTCGCTAGCAGTGGTTTTTAACCTTTTTTTTGTGGGGAGTAATAAAAGCTAGAGCTTCTCTTCAGAAGGATGCTTTATCAGATACATACACATGCTGTGCATACTTCCGTATTTCCCTTCCCTGTTCCTGCGCAGCCTCCCAGAATTTATGAGGAATTGCCTCTCACAGGCCCTGCAGTGAGTGAAGGAAGGCCTCACATGGTGCCTTCCTCTCTGTGCTGAGGGATCCGAGGCCGTGGTCTCCACCCACAGTGAAGGTGGAGCTTTGAGGTGGTGTAAAGTGGCCACCAGGCAGGGCTCTGGCTGTGTCAGGCATCTGGTCCCCACCCACCCTCTCTCCTTTCTCAGTCTCCCCAGGCCCCTTACCTGAATCTTGCCTGGCCTCTCCTTTTAGCTTTGGGCCCTGAATTTGTCTTTCAGCTGGAAGGTCTGGCATATGAAGGAAGACGTACCAAGACAAAGAGAGGCTGTCTCTCTCACACCCATGGCCAACGGTCTGGAGAACATGGGAGCTGAGTTCTTGGAAAACCTGGTCTGTTCCCTTCCCCACCCACCACCTTGGCCTCCTGGTCCTGAGCCCAGCCCATGGTGGGGAGGGCCTTTGTTTACCATCTTCCTTTACGCCCCTGCTTTTGTGCCTTCTCCTCACCTCTTTGCTTGAACATTTAGGAAACCCCCCATGGGTTGGCCTCCTCAGCACCAAGTCCCTTTTATTTTACTCATTAAACATTTACTGAGCACCCTTTATGTGCCATTCTAGCTTGTCTGAGTCTAGAAGATCAGGGAAGGTCTCAATGAGGAGGTGACATTTGAGCTGTGATCCAATAGTCAGGTGAGGGTGGGGGCGGGGTCACTTGGGAAGTCCTGACCTTCTAGGAGCTCACACTCTAATCCTTGCTCAGAAATGGCCATGTTCAGGCCCACCACCCAGAACTCTGGAGCCTATTTTGACATTCTCTTTCCTACCCCCCCAACATGCAAAGCCCCCCCCCCTTCACTGCACTGCGCAACCCCATGGTATGCCTTTCACACTGTAATCTGCATGAAGGACCAGTTAAGAAACCAGTCGCTGTGGAGTCAGTTCCTACTCATGGGGACCCCACGAGTGTCAGAGCAGAGCTGTGCTCCATAGGGTTTCCAATGGCTGGTTTCTCAGAAGTAGATTGCCAGGTCTTTCTTCTGAGGCACCTCTGGGTGGACTAAAACCTCAACCTTTTGGTTAGCAGCTAAGAGTATTAACCATTTGTACCACCCAGGGAATGACACCCCTTGGAAAACAGCTCCACGGACAGTGAGATAAATGTTGTCCCCAGAGTTGTGTGACAAGGTGGCCCTGCCTGGAAGCTTCCATGGAGGCTTCTTCTCAGGCCCCCAACCTGCCCTAGTAGAGGCAAAGGCACCCCTCCCTCACTTAGACCACGTGCCCCTTGAGGGCAGAAATGGTGTCTAGCAGAGACCAGCACCCAGTAGGTTCTCAGTGCATGCTTTGCTGAATTTAATTACATTATCCTCTATTCCCGTGCACAAGTCTGGCCCTGGCCCCAGCCCACTTGGGACGTGCTGTGGGTGCACTGGGTGTGGCAGGGCCCTTAACCTCCTCATGCCCCCAGCTGTAGCTCTTGTGTGGGTGTGTGGCCGACTCTGACTTTCCTCTGCTGGCTGTAGGAGGAAGGCCAGGCCTCTGGCAGTGACCAGAGCCCTGCAGAGGGTGGTGGCAGCTGCAGCAAGGCAGGGCCCAAGCCGTTCTCCAGATGGTAAGTGATTTCTGGAAGGGAGATGGGCTGGCATGAGGAGGGGGCCACTGTGTGGAACAGTGATCGGAACCTGGCCTCCTGGCGGACAGGGGCGCCCTTAAACCTTTGTTGAAGGAAGACGAAAACGTACTTCAGCCAACACTTGTGGACAAATGAACGCTAGGGTTGTTACCTCAGAGACAAGCCAGGCCTGATGCTTGCAATCTGCTTTTAAGCCGCAAGAATGGAATCCCATTGGGAATCCCACTATATACTGTGGGGCTGCTCTAGTTGAAGCGGGAGCGGGGGTGCGCTGAACCAGCCCAGCCTCCCTCTCAACCTCCCCCGTCTGCCTTCTACCCCACTTGGTCTCTGGGGCACCTCGGGGAACCCCAAGTTTCAGTTTGAAAACCCCTGGACTGGACCAGGCCCCCCACTGAAGCCCAGAGATGGAAAGGGACTGCCCAGGTTGTACAGGCGACGAGTGTCAGCGAGCCTAGAACTCAGCCTCCTGACCCCCAGGTGTCAGGTCCTCACTGGCCAGACCTCCCTAAGCTGAGGGGAGCATCCCGGGAAGGAGAGGTGGAGAGGGGATTCTGTCTGTCTACTTCAGTGGGGAGGATTTGGGAAAGATGCCCCCCGGCCTCAGGAACTCATTGTCTTGGCGGGAAGGTGGGGACAACAAAGAGAAGGCAGGAGGCGCCTCAGAACAGCAGCTACAGGTGATTCTAATGACATTCGGTAAGCACCTGCTAGGTGTTCAGCCTGGGGGCCCAGAGATATTCAGACACCAGCCTTTCCTCCCAGGACAGATAAGTAACCTAGTGACCAGGTAAGAATTGGTGTCTGAACTGGCCCTGAAGGAGGTGGGGATGATGGCTGCCAGGCACAGGCAGGCTGTTTCATGTGCCCTCTCACTGAGAGAGGGGCGTCGGGAGCTGCTGGCTCAGATAGACGTGCCCACAGGAAGCAAGTGCAGAGCTGGGAGCTCTCCAGCTGGCTTCACGGACAGGTGGATGGATGTAGGACAGGGGAGGAAAGCATCCCTTGCGGTTTGTGCATTTCTCACCTGGGCTGATTCTCTCCCAAGCCCTGGAGGCAGGGATGATCCCTGGGGGATGGTGCTCCAGGCACAGCTCTGGGCAGGGGTTGCCTCTGACCCTCAGCCTTCAGTCCTGTGGGAGGCCAAGGCCAGCACCAGCTCACCCCACATGGCTATTTTACTGGAGACATACCTGTGTGGCTTCCACCTGGAGGTGTTGAGGGTGCCCGCTGGGTCTGGGAGGGCCACTCTTGGACCCTGCTTGCTGTCTCCTCAGGAGGAGCCTGCAGCCAGCCACAAGAGCAAGGCACCTCTGCAAGAAGCTCTCACAGTTATTTCGATGGATCCTCACGGGCTTGCTCTGCACTGGTGAGTCTTTGGCCCAGCCTGGCCCAGGAGACTGCCACTCCCACCCTAGCCACCTGGTCCCCAGCCACGTCCACTCCAGCCACTCCAGCTCCTGCCACCTGAGTTTCAGCCACCCTCATCCTAGCCATCTCCGTCTCAGGGCAGAGCCATTCTCTCACCCAATCATTCAAGAAGTGCTGAGCATCAATTCCGGACCAGCTCCTGAATCAGATGCTGGGGCATCAGAGTTAAGTCAGCCAGATCTTGTTCCCAAGGGTCTGCTTGACTAATAAGGGAGAAAGGAACAAAAATTATTTCGACATAATCCAATAAACCATCTGGGAGCACCAAGGAGGGTTGGAGAAAGATCAGGGAGGGCTTCCTGGGAGAGGTGACATTAGAGTCTCACAGGTTGAGTAGGAAATAGCCAGGTGGAGGGGAAGAAGATAAGGAGTGAGAATGGCATTCCATGCAGAAGAATCACAGGAGCAAAGGTGAAAACTGGCAGAGTGCGGGCAGGGAGTGATGAACAGTCTAGTGCTGCTGGAGGGTAAAGTTTGGGAGAAAGAGTGCCAGAGGATTAGGATGAGGCCGGAGGGATACAAAAGGGCTGAGTGTCAGGGAAGGAAGGTCATGCTCAGGGACTTGGATTTTACCCTCAAGACCAGAGAGAGCCTTGGAAGGGTTCAAACAGGGAAGTGGAAATGTCAGATTCACACTGTGGAGCCCTAGCCCTGGAAGAGGCAGGCAGGAAGGACTGGGAGGAGGAGGCTGAGGGCAACAGTGCACATGGGAGAAGACGACATGGTGAAAGATGGATTTCATAACAGCCGAACTTGGGAATAACAGCCTAACTTGGGAATAACAGCTGAACTTGGGAACTGATTGGGGACATTATTTGAACTTGGGAACTGATCAGGGACATTGGTGGGGCTTACATGAGCTCATGAGTTCTTTTCCCACATTTTTTATCTATGGTTGCACATCCTGTCCATTTTTCAAGGATTCTGCCTCTGCTCCCCAAACTTCAAAAGCCAGGGAGAGACATTTCACCCCTCTGCTTTCTGCTATCACCTGACTTTCTTGAGGCACAAACACAAACTGGCTCAGCTGCTTGAAGGGGAGAAGGGCAAAGGGGGAAAAGGATATCCCAGGAAGAAAAGTGTCATTGACTAATATTTCCGAATCAAATCCTGGCACACACGTGGGAACTCCTTCATGAACTAACTGCCTTATCCAGCTCTGGGTGCCCTATGGAACCCATTGTGGCTCTAGAACATAGTAGGCGCCCCACTGTTGCTCCGAGATTTCCTGCTGTCTTGCACTTGGATGTGCTTCAGGGCCTCCTTACACATCTCCTTCCCATTTGGTCAGCACTTTACAGTTTGCAAAGCCCTTTCACGCATGTCTTGTCAGTTAACTCCGTAACAACACTCTGACATAGTAGGGATGATTGCTCTTATTTCCAGATGAGGAAACTGAGGCTCAGAGGGATTGGGTGGCCTTCCTGCCCTCCATGCTCTGGGGGGAGTCAGGTGGAGCCAGTGGGCAGGGCTACAGGGGCCTAGAGAGACTGGTGTCATCGCTGACCCCTGTCTCTGTCTCACCGCCACCTGCAGCATTCACTGCCTTTCTGCTGATTGCCTGCCTCCTGGATTTCCAGAGGGCCCTGGCGCTGTTTGTCCTCACCTGTGTGGTCCTCACCTTCATGGCCTACAGCCTGCTGAAGAGGCTTCTGGGGCCAAAGCTGATGAGATGGGTCAAGCCTCTTGGGAATTCCCATCTGAACCTCTGGTTTAAGAGGTGAGTGAGCTCTGTACCCTAAGGCATGGCAGGAGGAGTCTGCTCTGGGGTCACAGCCAGGCTGGGTGAGGCCCTCAGCTCTTGTCCCACAGGGGGTTCCTGAGTCATGGAGAATGTACTTCATCCTGCTGGCCTTCTGGGAGCCCAGGGCAGGAGTTGCTAGGTGGCTTCAAAGCTAGCAACCATCTTTGTGGCGTTTGGCCAGTTCCCAGTTGCAACAGGTGACTATGACAGCTGCAACAGGACTCAACACCCTCCTAAATTTGGAGATCCCAACAGGGCGGGCCCATATCAGTGCCTCCCGTCAGATCCCCTGGGACACCTATGGGACACACAGCTGCCAGGGCACCACACCTGGAGTCTGATTCAGCAGGCTGGGGTGGGGGTGGGGGGTCCAGGTGGTAATATTTTTAATTACCCCCCAGGGGATTCTGATGTAGACAATCATGCCACTGGGTCACAGTTTGGGAACCCTTGGTTTTCAAACTATGTTCCTTGGAGCTCCGGGAGCCTGGGGAGGGGAGCAGCAGACCCCCACTCTCCACTCCAGCCTGGCAGCTCTAATTTTATGTTTTATACACTGAGGTTTGCAAGATATTTAACTAGGAAAAAAAAAAAAAGGTTTCTATGGCTTAAAAAAAAGTCTGAAGACCACAAATCTATTTAAATATCCTATTTTGTTGCTGACGAAACTGGTGGCCGAAGATATCCAATGACTAAGCCTGGACAGTTACACAGGGCACAGGGGGTTCTGCAAAGTAAGATCCCCATTCCGTAGTGGAATGATTTAAGATGGACTAGGAAGAAATCCAAGCTGCACTGAAGGCATTGGCAAGAAACAAGGCTCCAGGAATTGACAGAATACCAACTGAGATGTTTCAACAAATGGATGCAGCTCTGGGGGTGCTCACTCATCTATGCCAAGAAATTTGCGAGACCTGGCCAACCCACTGGAAGAGATCCACATTTGTGTCCATTCCAAACAAAGGTGATCCAACAGAATGTGGAAATTATCGAACAATACCATTAAGATCATACACAAGTAAAATTTTGCGGAAGATAATACAAAAGCAGTTGCAGCAGTACATCAACAGTGAACTGCCGGAAATTCAAGCCGGATTCAGAAGAGAATGTGGACGGAAGGATATCATTACTGATGTCAGATGGATCTTGGCTGAAAGCAGACAATACCATTAAGATATTTACTTGTGTTTTATTGACTATGCAAAGGCATTTGACCATGTGGATCATAACAAATTATGGATAACATTGCAAAGAATGGGAATTCCAGAACACTTAATTGTGCTCATGTGAAACCTGCACATAGACCAAGAGGCAGTCATCTAAACAGAACAAGGGGATACTGTCATGGTTTGAATTATGTCCCCCCAAAAATGTGTGTATCAACTTGGCTAGGCCATGATTCCTCGTACTGTGTGATTTTTCTGTACGTTTTAAACCTGCCTCTATGATGTTAATGGGGGAGGATGGGTGGCAGTTGTGTTAGTTAGGCAGGACCTGATCTACAAGACTGGATTGTGTCCTGAGGCAATCTCTTGAGATATAAAAGACAGAAGTGAGCAGTGAGACAGGGGGACCTCATGCCATCAAGAAAGCAGTGCTGGGAGCAGAGCTCGTCCGTTGGACCGGGGTCCCTGCACCGAGACGCTCCTAGTCTGGGGGAACACTGATGAGAAGGCCGAGAGAGAGAAAGCCTTCACCTGGAGCTGACACCTTGAATTTGGACTTTTAGCCTACTTTACTGTAAGGAAATAAATTTCTCTTTGTTAAAACCATCCACTTGTGGTATTTCTGTTATGGCAGCACTAGATAACTAAGACAGATACTGTGTGGTTTAAAGTCAGGAAAAGTGTGTGGCAGGGTTGTATCCTTTCATCATACTTATTCAATTTGTATGCTGAGCAAATAATCCAAGAATCTGAAGTATATGAAGAAGAATGAGGCATCAGGATTGGAGGAAGACTCATTAACAACCTCAATATGCAGATGATACAACCTTGCTTGCTGAAAGTGAAGAGGACTTGAAGCACTTGCTGATGAAGATCAAAGACTACAGCCTTCAATATGGATTACACCTCAACATAAAACAAAAATCCTCAGAACTGGACCAATAAGCAACATCATCAATAAGACAACCTACAGACTGGGAAAAAATTTTTGGCTATGACAAATCTGATCAGCATCTAATCTCTAAAATCTACAAGATACTGCAAAACCTCAACAACAAAAAGACAAATGACTCAATTAAAAAATGGGCAAAGGATATGAACAGGCACTTTGCTAAAGAAGATATCCATGCAGCTAACAGACACATGAAGAAAGGCTCAAGATCATTAGCCATTAGAGAAATGCAGATCGAAACTACAACGAGATATCATCTTACCCCTACAAGGCTAACATTAAAAATAATAAATGCTGGAGAGGTTGTGGAGAGACCGGAACACTTATATACTGTTGGTGGGTTGTAAAATTGTACAACCACTTTGGAAATTGATCTGGCACTTCCTTAAAATGCTAGAAATAGAAGTACCATACGATCCAGCTATCCTGCTCCTTGGAATATATCCTAGAGAAATAAGAGCCGTCACACGAATAGATACATGCACACCCATGTTCACTGCAGCACTGTTCACACTAGCAAAAAGATGGAAACAACCTAGGTGCCCATCAACGGATGAATGGATAAACAAATTATGGTATATCCACACAATGGAATACTACGCAACGATAAAGAACAACGATGAATCTGTGAAATATAACATGGAGGAATCTGGAGGGCATTATGCTGAGTGAATTTAGTCAGTCACAGAAGGACAAATATTGTATAAGACCACTACTATAAGAACTCAAGAAGAGGTTTAAACACAGAAGAAAACATTCTTTGATGGTTACGAGGGTGGGGAGGGAGGGTGAGGGTTATTTACTAACTAGATAGTAGATAAGAATTATCTTAGGTGAAGGGAAGGACAGCACACACTACAGGGGAAGTCAGCACAACTGGACTAAACCAAAGCTAAGAAGTTTCCTGAATACAATCAAACACTTTGAGGGACAGAGTAGCAGGGGTAGGGGTCTGGGGACCATGCTTTCAGGGGACATCGAGGTCAACTGGCATAACAAAGCTTATTAAGAAAATGTTCTGCATCCTGCTTTGGTGAGTGGTGTCTGGGGTCTTAAAAGCTTGCAAGTGACCACTAAGATGCATCAATTGGTCCCAACCACCTGGAGTAAAGAAGAATGAAGAACACCAAAGATACAAGGAAAGTATTAGCTCAAGAGACAGAAAGCGCCCCATAAACCAGAGACTTCATCAGCCTGAGACCAGAAGAACTAGATGGTGCCCAGCTACCACCAATAACCACCCTGACACAACAGAGAGTCCCTGATGGAGCAGGAGAAAGGTATGGTGTAGAACTCAAATTCTAGTAAGAAGACCAGACTTAATGGTCTTACTGAGACTGGAGGAACCGCAGAAAGCATGGCCCCCAGATTCTCTATCAGCCCAGAACTAAAACAATTTCTGAGGCCAACTCTTCAGGCAGGGATTGGACAGGACTGTGAGACATAAAGTTATACTCGTGAGGAGTGTGTCTCTTAGCTCAAGTAGATACAAGAGACTAAATGGGCAGCTTCTGTCCGGAGGTGAGATGGGAAGGCAGAGAGGGTTAGGAGCTGGTTGAATGGACATGGGGAATCAGGGGTGGAAAGGAGGAGTGTGCTGTCACAGTATGGGGAGAGCAATTAGGGTCACATAACAATGTATGTAAAAATAAATTTTTGTATGGGAGACTAACTTGAAATGTAATCTTCATTTAATCTACAACAATAAACAAAAAAGAAAAAGAAAAAATACAGGCACTGAAGGTAATAAAGAACATGTAAAAGGATAGTGGTGATGGCTGCACAACATGGTAAATATAATTAATGTCATAGAATTATATACTTTAAATATGGTTAAAATGGCAAACGTTTTGTTACCCTACATAATTTACCACAATAAAAAAAAAATCACTGATCCAAACTGTAAGACAAACAACATGCAGATAAACGGGACTTCACAAAAATGAAAAACTTTTTGATCCGAAGAACACCGTCAAGAAAGAACAGGCAACCCACAGGAGAGCATATTTGCAAATTCTTTATCTGATAAGGGACTTGTATCCACAATTGTTTTTGTTGTATGCCCTCCAGTGGATTCCGACTCATAGCCACCCTATAGGACAGAGTAGAAGTGCCCCATAGGGTTCCCTAGGCTATAATCTTTACGGGAGCAGATCACCAGGGTTTTTCTCCTGCAGAGCTGCTGGTGGGTTCAAACTGCCAACCTTTCGGATAGTGGCTGAGTGCTTAACCACTGCACCACCAGGGCTCCTCTCTATACACAACTACAACTCAATAATTAAAAAGACAAATAACCCAGTTGAAAAATGGCAAAGGATTTGAATAGACATTTCCCCAAAAATATACAAAAAGCTAATAAGTAACATGAAAAGATGCTCAACATCAGCAATCCTGGAAATGCAAATCAAAACCGTAAGAGAGATATTACTTCACATCCACTGGGGTGGCTAGGATCAAAAAAGATAGATAATAGCAAGTGGTGGCAAGGCTGTGGAGAAATTGGAACCCTCATACATTGCTGGTGGGAATATAAAATGATAGAGCTACTTTAGAAAATATTTTGGCCGTTCTACAAAATATTAAATGTGGAATTATCATACAACCCAGCAATTCCACTCCTAGGCATATACGTAAGAGAAATGAAGAGATATATCCATACAAAAACTTGGACACAAATGTTCATAGCAACATTATTCATAATGGCCAAAAAGGGGAAACAACCTAAATGTCCATCAACTGATGAACGGATAAATAAAATGTGGTTTATCCATACAATGGAATGTTATTCAGTCATAAAAAGGAATTAAATACTGATATATACTACAAAGTGGATGTTGATGAACTTGTACTCCCTGACTTCAA